CCTCCCAAGTACCTGGGACCACAGGCACCTGCCACAATGCCCAGCTATTTTGGTTGCAGCCGTCATTGTTGTTTGGCAGGCCTGGGCTGGATTCGAACCCGCCACCTTAGGTGTATGTGGCTGGTGCCTTAGCCACTTGAGCCATAGGCGCTGAGCCGAAATAGTAGAATTGTAGCAGTTTTAGGCTTCACATCAGCACCTATCAACATCCAAAGGGAAAGAAACACCATTGCTTATGGTGGCATAATTTTAAGAATGAAAAAATACATTGCCCCAAAGCCCAGGCTTTTTTATCTGTTATTCTAATGGGAAGTGGGCCCTGTGCCCATTCCTGAGCCATTTTCCTTGATGAGGAAAGGCAGTGTCCTGATTGGCTTAGGCCTGGTTTTTTTCCCATTGGTGGGGTTAGATTCCCTGTCACGTATCGCCTAAATAGGAAAGGGAAGGCAGCTGAATGAAAATCAGGGTTCCCTCAGACAGGGAGAAATAGGTTCCAAGCAGGGAATCAGCCATGTTCACTGCAAGGTAATAAGAGTAGTCTGTCATTGTGGTCTGAACAGTTGGCTCTTTGACAGCAGATATCAGAAAGCCCAACTCTTCATGCCTTAAGCAGCAGGCTATTTATAGGCACTTACTGTGGCCAAGTCCACAGGTAGAGCAGCTATAGGGATGGCTGGATTCAGGGTTCAGAGCCTTTTCTGTTTTCCATGTTGGTCTGTCCCTTGCTTTGTTGGCCCCATTATTAGACACACTCCCTTTTTTATCATGAAGCTTCAAATTTCATGGCAAAGAGTAAGAATTATTGTACAAGAATCTATCACAAAAATCTTACTGGCTCTCATAGGCCCTTGACCAGTTAGACTATTGGCCATGGGCCTATAATGTGCTAATTAATAAAATGAAAATCATCCAAAGGGTAGGGTTCAGGTGGGGTTTGCTGTGCCTAAACCACAAGAGTAGAAGAGGTGTGATTTCCCAAGGGAATTGGAGGTGCTGGATAGATGTCCACTTCAGGTTTGACTGTTGCAACCCCTGCGGCTCTGATCTCGATCACATGACACGGATTAGAAGTACAAGCTTGTAGGAGGTAGGGTAGCCTCAAGCAACCGCCACACTAGCCTTTTATGGAGACAGTACAACACAGGTGAGGGGAGTAATTAACCAATGTCTACGTGCTAAAGGCTCGGGCTCTTCTTCCACGAGGAGCACCTGTGGACGAATGGCCCGGGGGTCCACCCTTCAGCTGCAGATCATCTTGCTCAGACATCATCTGGCTCTTGGCGTCCCCTACACTTGACGAGGTCTATTTCTGCATTATTCATGAGATAGTTATTGAGCCAAATACTGTAGATACTTGTGTCCCCATGTCATGAGCTGATTCTGTCATGCCTACAGCTTAAGTAAAGGTCTAAAGTGTCCCTGTATTGCTATAAAAGTGCTGCAGGAGGCAGCATGGATTGAGAAGACAGAGCACTGTGAGGCTTGCTAGTTTCCGTGAACAGCCTTATTTGAGACTTGGCCTCTCATCATACAGTGTCACCTGTGTCCTGATTCTCTCCATTAGCTTGATTGTCTCCATCTGTCAGGTCCTCTGTTACTGTGTCCAGAATCCCAGAAAAGAAAACATGTCAATAGGGGTGAAATTACTTCTATTTTATTTTCGAATTTGAGAATAATAGTGTCATAATTAAGTAATTTTTACTTGTAGCCATTTTATCTTTTAGATAAAACTGTCTACAAAGTTTTGTTCCATTTAGACATTAGCTCTGGTTAGTTTACAATAGAAGATTTACTTGTAGTGGTACTTTAGATTTTTGTAAAGGGGCTTACATGAATACATCATTTTTTTTTTTTTGCCCCATAGATGAAAACATGTTTAAAATCCTTAAAGAAGAAGGAAATCAATGTGTAAAGAACACAAATTATGAAGGTGCCATTAGTAAATACAGTGAATGCTTGAAGATTAACAACAAGGAATGTGCTATATATACTAATAGGTAAGTTCTTTCTATATATTTCCTTTTTTTTCCCTTTTTTTTTTTTTTTTTTTTGAGACAGAGTCTCACTATGTCACCCTTGATAGAATGCTGTGGCATTCACAGCTTACAGCAACCTCCCAACTCCTGGGCTTAGGTGATTCTCTTGCCTCAGCCTCCCAAGTAGCTGGGACTACAGGTGCCTGCCACAATGACTGCCTATTTTTTGGTTGCAGTTGTCATTGTTGTTTAGCAGGCCCGGGCCAGGCTTGAACCTACCACCTTCAGTGTATGTGGTCAGCACCCTACTCAATGAGCCAGTAACTTTGATATATTTCTTATGTTAATAGTTTTGGATATTAAAAAATAATTTGTAATAAATTAATAAAATTAATGAAATGCCACAGTGCTAGGAATTTATATAGCAAGTTGTCCTAAGTGGGTGTTCCTAAAAGAGGTGGGGCCATGGGAGTTTTGGAAGATTGGAAACATGAGGTGTGGGAGAGGCAGGAGTTTGATATAGTCTAGTCTGTGTCACCAGGTTTGAGCATCTTTGCTGCTGCTTTGATGCAGCATTTCATGGCTGCCTGGCCAAGCTGTAGCTAGCTGGGCCTGGGCATTGTCCAAGATGGGAGGAACAGGAATTGATGCCCTTTCAAAGTAATGTCTTACAGAGCAATCCCTTTCTTCCTCTGAAGTGCCAAGGGAAGGGACCAGCATGTTTTATAGTGTGCATAGGAACGGGCAGGTTGTTCTAGAATACTGCTTGAGTGCCATCTTTACCACATGTCAACCTTTTTGCCAGAAATGTCACTAAATCCAACAGACGTTTTCCGGCCCTTCCCCTGCTCACCCTCTGCAGGATGGGGCATTATTGGCCACTCAGTTTTGCTGAAGACCCCTTCTCCCCTTGGCTGTGCTGGCAGAGCTCATCACCTGGCTCTCCTCTTTTCCCACTGCAGGCTTTTCTTTCCCCAGTATTCTCAGGGTTCTGAAGGTCTACCATCCCTCTTTTGCTCTACATACTCGGGGGGCCATTCCATCCTTTCCCCAGCTCCATTTACCACCTTACACTGATGTCTCTCAAATTTCTGTCTTCTGAGTCCCACACCCAAAACTCCCCTCCCTTCTGTGCTGGGGCTGATTATCTCCCTGACCAACACTTCCTGCCCCTTGTCCTCCATCCAGTTAGTTAGCAATGGCTGGTCGTACCTTAGAAATCCCTCTTAAGGCCTGACCCTTTGTGTCTACTGTTTCATCCTGGCCTGGGCTGCTGGCGTCTCCTAGATGGCTGGCGTCTCCTAGATGTCCATAGCACCTCCGTGGTCCCTGCACAGCCTTGCTCCCTTTTGTCTTGCCCTCCCAGTTGCAGCTAGAGTGATCTGTCTAGAACATGGTACACATGTCGGCCCCTACTCTGAACCCTTCAGCAGACTTCCTTTAGGCTTGCCTGTTCTTTCAGCTCATCCCTTACAGAACTTTTCTTAATTCATTAAGAACATCATGTCCAGGCAGGGTGTTTTGGCTCACACTTGTAATCCTAGCACTCTGGGAGCCAAAGTAGGTGAATTGTTTGAGCTTAGGAGTTTGAGACTAGCCTGAGCAAGAGTAAGACCCCATTTCTATTAAAAATAAAAAAACTATCTGGGTGTGGTGGCGAGTACTTACAATCTCAACTACTTGGGAGGCTAAGGCAAGAAGGATCGCTCGAGCCCACGTGTTTGAGGTTGCTATGATGATGCCATAGCACTCTACCTGGACCCAGGGTAACACAGTGAGACTCTGTCTAAAAATAAATAAATAAATAAATAAATAAATAAATAAGTTCTTTCCACTATAGGTCTGTGCCCTTTTTTTTTTCTTTTTTGAGACAAAGTCTCATTTTGTCTCCTTTGGTAGAGTGCTGTGGCATCATAGCTCACAGTAACCTCAAGCTTTTGGGCGTAAGCAATTCTCTTGCTTCAGCCTCCCAAGTAGCTGGGACTACAGGTACCCGCCACAATGCCTGGCTATTTTTAAAGAAGGGGTCTTGCTCTTGTTCAGGCTGGTCTCAAATCGGTGAGCTTAGGCAGTCCACCTGCCTCAGCCTCCCAGAGTGTTGGGATTACCTGTGTGAGCCACTGTGCCTGGCCAGGTCTGTGCCCCTGCCTCCATCTTAATGCTCTTAACCCAGTGCCTTTTATTACATAATTCTCACTCCACACTCTGGCTTTCAACTCAAATGTTACTTCTTTTGAGAAGACTTCCCTGACCACTCTGCCTCTTGCCTCAGTGCCACTGGATAGCATGTGGCTCTGAGCTCTGTGCTCTTATAGTACCATGTATAGATTTTACTGTGTTTACTTATTTTAATGGTGTGTCTTCTCCACCATAATGTATTCTCCTTGTGGGGGAGGGTGGGACTGTATAAAGTTTGCAGTTATATCCCCTGGGCCATAATTTCATGTACTATAAGAGAGTGCCATAATTGGGATCAAATGTTAAAATTTAATTGAAACAGCTGTAGTATAGAAACAGACTTACTGAGTTATTTTCTGATTTTTCTTAGCTGTCTAAATTTATAGATATGAGACTGGGCATGGTAGCTCATGCCTGTAATCCTAGCACTTTGGGAGGCCGAAGCAGGTGGATTGCCAGAGCTCACAGGTTTGAGACCAGCCTGAGCCAGAATGAGACCTCATCTCTAAAAATAGCAGGGCATTGTGGCAGGCACCTATAATTCTAGTTACTAGGGGGCTGAGGCAAGAGAATCGCTTACGCCCAAGAGTTTGAGGTTACTGTGAGCTGTGATGCCACAGCACTGTACCAAGGGTGACGAAGTGAGACTCTGTCCAAAAAATAAAATAATAAAAAAATAAAAATAGAAAAATTGAGGCAGGAGTATTGTTTGAGCCCTAGAGTTGGAGGTTGCTGTGAGCCTTGACGCCATGGCACTCTACCCAGGGTGACAGCTTGAGACTGTCTCAAAAAAAAACAAACCAAAATTTATAGATACGCTGTTTTTACCTTTCTTAATACCAAGTTTCATTACATTATGTCAGAGCTCTCTGTTACTTGAAGCTGTGCCAGTTTGAGGAGGCAAAGCAAGACTGTGACCAGGCACTGCGGATAGATGATGGGAATATGAAGGCACTCTATCGACGGGCCCTGGCTTACAAAGGACTCAAGGTGAGAAAATCTTCATTGTGCCAAGGGCTCACACCTAAAATCCTAGCACTTTGGGAGACTTAGATGGACAGATCTTTTGCGCTCAGGAGTTTGAGACCAACCTGAGCAAGAGTGGGACCTCATCTCTAAAAAGTAGCCGGGTGTTATGGTGGGCACTTATAGTCCCAGCTACTTGGGAGGCTGAAGCAAGAGGATCTCTTCAACCCAAGAGTTTGAGGTTGCTGTGAGCTTATGATGCCACAACACTCTCCCCAGGGCAAGAGAGTGAGACTATGTCTCCAAAAAAAAAAAAAAAAAAATCTTCATTTTAATGTGTATGTTTTAATTCTGAAGAAATGAAGTGGTTTTCAAGAACATAAATCATGATCATGGGATGGGAGTGAGATTATCCTGGTATTTAATCCTAGTGCTATACTAATCAGTCTAAAACCTTGGAATAGGCCTCAGATTTCACCACTAATTATAATGTGGAGTTCTGTAATTTCTAAGATTCCTTCCAGCTCAAATATTATGATGTATTCTCTGCTTTTCCTAGGAATAGTAGGAGTATTGTTAGTTATAATAGGTTCGCTTTAAGGGACAGGAAAGTTTGTAACTGAATTACTGAAAGCCACTGGCAGTATTTCTCCAGCAAAGATTGGGAGTGGAGGTGGGGGAAGATGTCATGTAGGAAGATGGGTCACCCAGCAGAAGTGGGTAGTAACAAATCAGAGATTTGACAGCTTATGGGTATGTAGGCCTTAGCTGGCTGATGGTCAGTGTGAGACTATAGAATGCCATTCTTCAAGAAAACTGCACCATTGGTTTAGAACAGTGGTCTCCAACCTTTTTGGCACTAGGGACTGGTTTCATGGAAGGCAGTTTTCCATGGGCCAGGGAGAGGTGATGGTTTCAGGATGATTCAAGTGCATCACATTTATTGTGCACTTTATTTCTATTGTTATTGTATTGCAGTATATAATGAAGTAATTATACAACTCACCACAGTGCAGAATCAGTGGGATCCCTGAGCTTGTTTGCCTGCAACTATGGTCTCATCTGGGGGTGATGGGAGGCAGTGACATCCAAAGTGTGTTGCTGAGGCTGGTGGTGGCTCATGCCTGTAATCTTAGCACTCTGGGAGGCCAAAGCATCTGAATTGTTTGAGCTCAGGAGTTGAGACCAGCCTGAGCAAGAGTGAGACACCGTCTCTAAAAATAGCTGGGCATTGTGGTGGTTGCCTGTAGTCCCAGCTACCTGGGTGGCTGAGGCAAGAGGATCTCGAGCCCAAGAATTTGAGGTTGCTGTGAGCTGTGACACTTTGTCTATCCAGGGCGACAAAGTGAGACTCTGTCCCAAAACAAAACAAGCAAACAAAAAACCCAAAGTGTGTTGCTGCTATTAAGCTTGTCACTAGATGTAGCTTAATTATCACTTGCCACTCACTGACAGGGTATTGATGCGGGTTTGTAAGCAATTCATTTATTATTGTCTGTGCGCAGTCAAACCTCTCTGCTAATGATTATCTGTATTTGCAGTGGCTCCCCCAGGCTAGCATCACCACCTCAGCTCCCCCTCGGATCTTCAGGCATTAGATTCCCATAAGGATCTCGCAACCTAGAGCCGTCACCTCTGCAGTTTACAGTAGGGATTGTGCTCTTGAGAATCTAATGCCACAGCTGATCTGACGGGAGGCAGAGCTCAGACAATGAGGCCAGCGATGGGGAATCACTGTAAATACAGATGAGACTTTGCTCGCTCGCCCACCACTCACCTGCTGCTGGGCAGCCCTATTCAAGGGTGGGGGTGGGGACGGGGCTTGCGGACTGCAGGGTTAGAAGAAAGAAGTTTTTATATAATGAAATTCACACATTGGCAGGTCATTGACTTTTTTTTTACTGTTTACAGAGTTTCACTATGTCACCCTTGGTAGAGTGCTGTGGTGTCACAGCTCATAGCAACTTCAAACTCATGGGCTTAAGTGATTCTCTTGCCTCAGCCTCACAAGTAGCTGGGACTACAGGTGCCCGCCACAACGTGCTATTTTTTTTTGTTATAGTTGTCATTGTTGTTTAGCAGGCCCCGTCTGGGTTCAAACCTGCTAATCGTGGTGTATATGGCTGGCGCCCTAACCACTGAACTATGGGCACCAAGCCTAGGTCATTGACTTTTGATAGCCACCATCTCAATCATGCTCTTGTTGGGGTGTCATGAATGCTTAAAGAAGTTTCATATCTTTACAGTTCTATACTGCCTCCTAATTTGGTTTAATCAAAATATTAGTCTGTAGTTTCTAGAACATGGCTTGTCACAGTAGACTGTTTTTGCATAGTATCTGTCCCTGCTGCCAGATTCGGTGGCCTTGTCTTAGATTCCCTTTCTTTTCCCTCAGTTCCACCGATGTATTGTCTGACTGATAGAAAATTAAATGTTGACTATAGACTAGTTTGAAGAGTAAACATCTCTATTCCATGAAGAACAAAAGTATTATAATTATCATTTGCACAGCCTTTTATAGGTTTAAACCATTCATTTATTCCTTTGTTCCTTGGTATAGCCTTGTAACAATTTGAATAGAGCTTTTATCACCCTTATTTTAAAGATAAGAAGACTCCAAACTGTTAAATAGGATCCTGTTTCTCTGCTAGTGCGTGTGTGCAGTGATCTGTGGCGGGAGTCTGTGGCAATACAGAGTTGAACTTGAGTTTTCTAATTCTGGATTCCATGCTCTTCCTTCTGTAGTGGATGTTCGTTGGGTTTTTTGTTACAATGTTTACACGCATACTCACTCTGTAGGGCCATTTTACAAGAGTGGCACTAATGGGGACTCCTGTATATACTTCGCACAGCTCAGTCACTCTCACCCATGCTAATCTAGGCTGCTGCTTTTATTTATGAAAATTATTTCTCTGTCTTTCTACTTAACAGAATTATCAGAAAAGCTTAACTGATCTCAAAAAAGTTCTCCTACTAGACCCAAGTATTGCTGAAGCAAAGATGGAACTGGAAGAGATAACCAGATTCCTTAATAATAAGGATGATACCTCATCATTCAACAAAGAAAAGGAGAGAAGGAAAATTGAGATTCAAGAGGTATTTTTTTTTCAATACATTTGAAATTTTTCTTTTGGGGATCTTACACTGGATTCCAAAGTTATAACCCTATGAGTTCTTTTGAACCCGTCACCTCCGGTATATGGGGCCTACACCCTACTCCTTGAGCCATGGTGCCGCCCACTCCTATGAGTTCTTAAATGACTTTTTGTTTGCATTCTGATGATGAATGAAAAAATTTTATCCAATTGTAAAGACACAGTTTCTCCTTTGCAGTGATAATTAGCCATGGTATTTCCCAGTGTGAGTCCGTGACAGACACTGGGAGTCTGAGTATTACTGAAGTTCTTCCTTTCTTTGCCCACCCTCCATGAGGCCTGTGACCATGCTCTTCCCACTCCAAAGTACACTGGGAGCCTGTGGCCATTGAGCTTTGCTTTAGGGTAGACCTGGAGAATCCCAATAGGATTGATTTCTTTCCAAGGGCCCTGCAAGCCACACCCTATGAAGATTTTCTAGATTGACTCAGACCTGTTCAGCACTCTGAAATAAGACTGCCTGATCAGAGATCTCAGACTAACAAAGACTCAAACCTGCCTTCGTTACTTCAAAGAACTCCCACATTCTGCTTTGCTTAAAGAATGTTAGGCCACGAATTCCTGTGCATTTGTGAATGTGAATATCACCACATTTATAATCCTCACATTTCCACTAAGAGTAAGAGGTCAGTATGTGAGAGAAGCTAGGAAGATTTTTCCCTTTAAAGGAAGAAAAAGCTATTTTAAGAAAATTGAAAAAATGTAAGCTCACTTTTTTGCTAAGAGAAAGAGATAAAATTGTGATATGTTTTCATTTTATGCAACAGTTTTATTCATGGAAAGTTCTAAAAGTAAAATGTTTGTTGTCATAGTTTCAATGTCAAATGGTTGTTTAAAACTTCACAGAACACTTTTATGAATTGGATTCCTATACTCTAAACTTCTCTTCCTAAAAAATTATAGTTTTTATAATTTATTACAAATTATAGATTTTTCACTTAGAACTTGATTAAAATACAGTCCATCTGCGGTTTTCAATCCCCATTTATGAAAAATGTAGCTTAGGATGTGTGTGGTGACCGGTGTTCAGTGTCACAGTCTGTATTTTTTTCCTCATAAAGGTGAAGGAAAGCAATGAAGAGGGGCCTGAAAGATCTTCAGAGGCGGTCTCCGCTGCCTGCCTTGCTTCTGAGAAGCAAGACAAAAGCAACTGGCCACTAGAATGCCTTGAAAAGCTTCAGATCTCCAAGCCTAATAATGCCTACGAATTTGGTCAGGTTATAAATGCTATCAGTACTAAGAAAGATGAAGAAGCCTGTGCACATCTTTTAGCCATCACCGCACCAGAAGATTTGCCAGTGTTGTTGAGTAACAAACTTGAAGGGGATACATTCCTCCTCCTCATTCAGACTCTGAGAAATAATCTTACTACTAAAGATCCTTCATTGGTATATCAGCATCTTTTATATCTGAGTAAAGCAGAAAGGTTTAAGGTGAGCAGAAAAGTATTTTATTTTGTTTATTTATTTTTTCTTTTTTTGAGACGGAATTTCATTTGGTTGCCCTCGGTAGAGTGCTGTGGTATGATAGCTCACAGCAACCTCAAAAAGGATCAAGTGATCCTTTTGCCTCAGCCTCCCAAGTAACTGGGGCTACAGGTGCCCACCATAATGCCTGGCTATTTTTTAGAGACGGGGTCTCCCTCCAACTCCTGAGCTCAGGTGATCTACCCATCTCTGCCTCCCAGAGTGCTAGGATGACAGGCTTGAGCCACCACACCCAGCCTTAAAAAGTGTTTCATTCATAGAGATCAACTTTCTTTTTTTTTTTTTTTGAGATAGAGTCTTACTCTGCTGCCCCAGGCTAGAGTGCCATGACCTCATAGAGCCCAGCAACCTCAAACTCCTTAGCTCCGGTGAACCTCATGCCTCATCCTCACGAGCAGCTGGGACTACAGGCATGTGCCATCACACCTGGTTAGCTTTTTCTACTTTTTAATAGAGACTGTAAGGGTCTCAACTCTTACTCAGGCTGGTCTCCAACTCCTGAGCTCAAGCGATCCACCCTCCTTGGCCTCCCTGAGTGCTAGGATTACAGGTGTGAGCAGAGACTGATTTTTTTTTAAAGGGTTTCCATAATTTATTGATACTAATATGTTTTCCCTTCCTTCAGATGATGCTGACGCTAATAAGCAAGGACCAAAAGAAGCAAATTGAACAGCTATTTGATGACCTTTCAGAAACACCAAACAACCATTTTACTTTAGAAGATGTACAGGCCCTAAAAAGGCAGTACGAGCTTTAAATCAAGATTGTTAGATTTCTTCCATGCATGTATGTGTTCCAGTAATGCTATTGAAATGGTATTGTAATAGAGTTGCATGGATAAAATCTGGCTTAGAAAAGGTCCCTTGGTCTGGACTAGAAAACGTTTTACTTATTTTTATACACAGAACATGTATATTTGACAATATGCTTTTTATTAGCTGTAAATATTTTCTTATGTACCAGAGCCAACATCTTTATATTTAATAAGTATGTGGTATATTTAGAAGTTGTTAAAAATGCATTTTAATTTATAGTGTGTTTTCTTTTAATAACTCACCTGTTGAAAATCTGAGTTAAATTATATTTCTTTGAGGTATGAAGGCGTCCTCTTAAGTTTCATAGAATTGAATTTCTTTATAGTTTTTTTAAAAGTGAAAGTTATTAGCAGTGATTATTATATGACTCACATCCTGCTAGGATAGACATAAATCCCATTTTATACTGGTACCTGTGGGTTTCAATCAGTTAAAATGAAATGGAACACTGAAATCTGTAACATGAAATGATTATTAAATTGTGTGTATTAATTTAGAGCTGTAAGAGGAACTTTTCTAGTATGCCTGATAATTAAGAACAAAAATTGCTAAAAATTTCTACCACTTTTTACTAGATTTTAAAAAGCCCCTTTCCCTTGTATATTGCTTATATAAGTAAAGACAACTAATCGCTATATAAAAGCAAACTAAACCCGCATTTGTATTTGAACTGTCATCCCTATATTTCTCCCAAGTGTCTCCCCCTCCTTTTCTGTTTTCTGCTTTCATGACTATATTTTATCTTTCACTATAAAAGAGAAAGTGAAGAGCCCTTCTCATATCAAATGCTCCTTTGTTAACCGAGTCCAAGTAAAGGTGTTCTGGTCTCTGTCAGTGTACTGTGGTTTATTCTTGCAGTCTCTTGTCAGTTCCCTGGAGCTGCATTTTCTTATTCATTTAGAAGTGAAGATGAAAGATGAATAACACTTTTATTTTTTCTCTATTATTTTATCCAATCTTAAAATCACCACGGGGAAAAGGATGCCTCTCAAACTGCCGTTTTTCTTCTAAACTGTTCTTTTCCTTTTATCATAAGTGAAAATCTACTGTAATGAGTACTTAACTCTAGTCTTCATGTAAACAAATAGGTTTCTCTTTTTTGATGTTACTAAATTGTTTATAAAAGTAAATGATGGATTGTGTTAGAACTGTATCCTATGTATAAAGTTTATTTATAGAGAAAGTTTACCTATATATGGTAACCCGAGATTAACTTTACAATGGATCTTAACCTAGAGGCTGAGAAGTGATTTAAGAGTTAACTTCAGACACACAAAAAGGAAACTTTTATTGACAGTTACATAATGAGCACCTAGCACAATCCTGACACAGGGACATAATTAACTGTAGGTGGTATGTTTTGAATTTATCTACTAGGATTGTGCATAGTTTATTGCATATCATCTAATTTAATCTTCATAACAGTTGTTACAGATCAGGGAACAGTAGCACAGAGGTGTGTAAACTAAAGAAGACTATAAATGTTGCAGGTGGTCCATCAAAGCTCCAAATCTGTGCAGTCTGCCTTTTGAGCTCATACACTCCGTGCTGTGTAATGAAACATATTAAATATATGAATGGAACAATGGGGAAGGTGCCTGGCTTTTAAGAGTTACAGTATAGTGGCCAGGTGGCTCACACCTGTAATGCCAGCATTTGGGAGGCTAAGGTGGTGGTGGGGGATTGCTTGAGGCCAAGAGTTCAAGACCAGTCTGGGCAACTATCAGGAATCCATCTACAAAAAAGTGAGCCAGGTGATGTGGCATGCCTGTAATCTCATCTCAGGAGGCTGAGCCAGGAGGATTGCTTGAACCGAGGAGTTTGAGGCTGCAGTGAGTTATGACTGCACCACAGCACTCCAGCCTAGGTGACAGAGTGATTAGTGAATGGATATGTAAATTGCTGTGCTGGGTACACTAATAGAGATATCGACAGTGGTAACACAAAAGCAAGAGGACGCCCAGGCTTGCCTGTCTAGGAAAGGTTTCAAGAGGGAATTAATGCCATAGCTTGAGTTTGTCATATGGATGAAAGAGAAGGACATTCCAGGCAGAGGAAACAAGAGGCAAGGGCATTAAGATGCATACTCAAGGTGCAGGTTGAATAGAAGTGTTAAATAACTTGGCATGTTCAGGGAACTACATGTAATCCGCATAGTAGGGGAACAGAGTTTGTGTGATAGCTGTTTAGAACAAAGTTGCATGCCACATATAAAATTGCAGAAAATATTAGGATTTTAATTATACAAGTATACTATTCTTTGGTGAGTCAGGCATTGCCACTCTTTTTTTGGAGACAGAGTCTCACTGTGTTGCCCTTGGTACAGTGCCATGGCATCATAGCTCACAGCAACCTCAAACTCTTAGGCTCAAGAGACTTTCTTGCCTCACCCTCCCGAGTAGCTGGGACTACAGGTGCCTGCCACAATCCCTGACTATTTTTAGAGACAGGGTCTTGCACTTGCTCAGGCTGGTCTTGAATCTGTGATCTCAAGCAATCCACCTGCCTCGGCCTCCCAGAATGCTGGGATTCCAGGTGTGCCTGGCCAGGCGTTGCCACTCTTCACGAATAACCTGGTATTCCTCCCCTTCTGGATATACACAAAACTACCTGTTAGCCTCTTTGTGATTGTTGGGGACCACATGCCCAATTCTGCAGTGGACTTTTAAGTGAGATATGTCATTTCTGGGCCCAAGTACTTAAGACCCACCCAACATAGAACCTTCCATGGTGCTTTCCCTTGGCATAATGTCTGAGAAGGCCTCATGTTCCAGACAGTGCAGCTACAAGATGATGGCACCTCCATCAGCCTGAGTCTTTGAATAATGCTTTGAGGCCAAGTCCTGCCACTGTGCACTGGACGTGTAACATGAACAAGCTTATGCTTTCTTCCACTGAGATTCTGGTGTGTAACTTTGTCCAAGGACTTAACCTCTCACAGTCTGTTTCCACATGTCTTCTATCTTCAGCCTTTAAATCTTTCCTGACTCTCAACCTATAACACCAACTTCAAACTGTTCATCTCCACACAGATGTCTCATAGATACTTTAAATATAATATGCCCTAAATGGAACTCTGTTGTCTCAAACTCAGGCCTCACTTACTGCATAGCTTCAAGTACCAGCACTCACATACTGACCTAAGAAATGGAAGTGTCATCCTGAACCTCACATCTAAGAGTTCATTATGCAAAGATGGCACACCACCCAAGATCGGCTGCTTTTGTGCAGCATGTCTTGCCACATAGTTCTGGTCTTCTTGAGTTTATTTATCTGGCGGAAAATGTGTGGTTCAATTGTTTCCCGTATTGTTCAGCAAAATGCCTGGTGCAGTAGGTTCCATACAAATCCATTGAATAAACGAGAACTCTTACATTTGGGGGTACCTAAAGTATTTCAGTGGGTTGTGAGCACTTTTACATCTAGTTGGTTTGCTGTAAATCATGCATTAGGAACTAGAAGTCTTGAGTGATTCTATACAGAGTGCGGTTGATCACCAAAGCTTAACTCATGCCTTGAAGACTATAAGCAAACTTTCTGGATAAAGGGATGAAAGACAAAATATCAAAACAGGAAAGGAAGAGAAAGAAACTAAAGGCTCTTAAAACTGCATGATAGTTATTCACGAAGTGTAAAATACCTGAGGAAATCACAACCCCTCTGGGCTTAAATGTGCCTATTTTTAAATGATTAGTACATATCATCTGGACTGATGTGTTTATTGTAAAATAACATGATAATACTTTCTAAGGTGTATTCAATGCAAAAGGCTATCATTACTATTTTGGTTCCTGGACAGTATGAAATTTCCCTGTGTCCAGAACTTGAGTCTAGGGTTCCGGATCTCCTATGCCCAGCCTCTTAATGTCTGCCCTCTGCAGTTGTTACCACATGCTCCTCAGCCAGCCTCCTGACCTTAACTGCAACAACAGGCTATCCCATAGATTGCTTAAATCAGCTACCTTTCCTCTTGACTCCTCACCAAATTTTTCCTTCCCCCACCTTTTTTTTTTTCCTGGAAACTAGTCTTACCCCTCCTTTCTAAAGAGCAAGATCTTAAAATGAAAAGGGCTCTACCAGTTTAAATCACAAAGTAATGGCTGTATCTGATGTTTGTCAGGAAAGCTTCAAAGAGATCAAGCTGTAAAGTTTACCCCTTTCATTTCCACTTCTCAAGTATGTTGTTGAAAACTCCCTTCATCCTACCAACTAGAGATAGTGTACTCTTCCATTAGCGGTCTCTCAGGAAGGGAAGTACAGATTCCCAGGTTGACTACAAAGCTTAAGCAGAACACGACATTAAAGTGATTCCAAATGTTTTCTCATAGTTGTTTTCCACATTATGTGTGTTACTATCTAGGAACAGGATGAAGCACAAAGGGTGTTCATGTAGAATTTGTTTTACTTTTTTCCTATCTGCCTGGAAGCACCACGCAGACCAAAACGACCCCTAAAGAGCGAGTGCAAGGAGTGTCTCTAAGGAGAAATCTCTGTCTCCAGGATACAGCAAATTTTGTCAAGTTTATAGGATTTGATGCATGAGGCCAAAAAGTCAAATAAAAGAGGTGGTCGAAGGTTAATTGATAGAAGAATCAATGAAAAACAACAGACAAGAGTAAAAGTGGCAGGTGCCTCCTTTCTCACTTTTTCTCTGGGAGACCGCTTAAAAGCATAGACTCTGGCATCAGATAAATTTAGAATCAAACTCCAGCTCTTCTCAGGAGCTGTATGACCTGGCAGTCTTTAGTTTCCTTATCTGAAAAGTGGGGCTATCTTCCTGCCATTCATGGTGGTTGTATTATGTGGCTAGTGAAAAATGCCTGGTGGTTCTTAGTAAGTACCTTACTCTTTCCTCTCTGTGTGTAACTGCTTTCTTCCTGTAAGCATAATAGTCTCACCTATGTTGCTAGAAAAGGATAAGAAAGCTCTTTTCAAATACTGTGGACACCTTAGCAGTTATTTATTGACAATAAATACACACTAGGACTCCCCTAATAAAAAGACTTCAGCCAGACAATTAGCTGGCTTTGGGCCTCTGGTGCCATCTTCTGGAAGTTAGTCATGTTACAGCAGCCCAGAGATTAGCCCACAGGTTGAGCTGCACAACCTATTTGTAATAGTAAACGTTGTTTTCCAGCCTGTCGCTGTTTTGAGGGTAAGTGAACACACCAACAGTGGTATCATACATTCGGAGTCTAGCACAGGCTGGTGGGTGCTGAGTAAATGTTTGTTGAATTAATGAATGTAGAGACAATGCCCTGTTTGGTTCTCTTGTTTCCAGAGTTTAGATTAGGAAGTTCCTTATTGAGAGGCTTACAGTGACAGTCTAAATATTTCTAAATCAATCATTCAAGAATGTTCTCACAGGGTCACTTGAAAAATCTTACAGTCAGCGAGATCGGGAATCTAAAAATATCTCTTGTGATTCTTAGGAATGTGGAATTTATGACCTACTGGCACAGAAGCTGAGTGTGCAATAAATATCCGAATTGCACTATTTATGACCCACTGAATAAAGTTCTGTGGGCCATAAATAAAAAAGATAACTCCTACTTTTAATGAGTTTATACTTCATTTGGGAAAAATCAGCAAGAGCCTCTAATAGGAAAAAACAGCATCAATGAAATGTTCAAGTGTCAAAGGAATTAAAAGGGCCATGCACAGTTCAGCAAGAACATTTCCAGAAAAAGGTAAAATCTAAGCAAGGTTTTGAAATGGACTCAGGTGAATGAGGAGGAGGAGCTCAGTATGATTGAATTACTTTACTATAGAATTTCCAACATCGTCTGTACTAGAATGTTAAAAGGGTCTAAAACTTTGCCGCTCCAGGTTATGCTTTGCTGGGCAGCAGAGAGAAACCAGACGGGAGACTTACAAACCAACTTTGATTTTCTATTTTTCCTTTGGGTTTTAACAGTGACCCAAATCAAATCCAAAATTAGCCGAAAATTTAATCTTAATTGACCTTGTTTATGCCAGTTTCCCACCTGAAAAACATGAGCAGTCATTTGCTGTAATGAAACAGTGGGATGGGAGGAGGAGTACTTTGATAAACATAATTTTGATCCTAATTCATATCTGTGCTACAATGAGGGCAAAGATTTGAGTAGGATGGCTACCTACAAAAAAGACACAGTAAGTACTGGTGAGGATGTGGAGAAACTGGAAACCACATAACTTGCTGATGGGAATGTAAAATGGTGCAGCTGCTCTGGAAAACATTTTGGCAGTTCCTTAAAAAGTTAGTTTCCATTTGACCCGATAATTTTGAAACTCCCTGTATTATACCCCCAAATTTGAAAACACATGTTCACACAAAAACTGGTACACAAACATTGATAGCAGCATTAATAGCCAACGAATGGAAACAACACAAATGTCCATCAACTAACCAAAAGAATAGACAAGAGAATGAGGTGGGTGGATTGTTTGACCTCATGAGTTCAAGATCAGCCTGAGCAAACGCCAGACCCTGTCTCTTAAAAATAGAAACACTTGAGGATCACTTGAGCCCCCAAATTGGCGGTTGCTATGAGCTATGATGATGCCACAGCACTCTACCCAGGCAGACAGCTTGAGACTCTGTCTCAAAAAAAAAAAAAAAGATAAACAAAATGTGGTTTTGTTTCCATCCATCCAATAGAATATTATTCAGCTGTAAGAATGAGTGGTACGTGCTGTTCTGTGGATGAACCTTGAATGCATTGTTAAGTTAAAAAAGCTAGACACAAAAGACTATATTTTATGATTCTATTTATGTGAAATGTCCAGAATGAACAAATCCAAAGAGATCGAAAGCAAATTAGTGGTTTCTAGGGCCTGAGAGGAAGGGAGAATGGGAACTGACTGCTAGTGGGCACAGGGCTTCTTTCTGGAATGATAAAAATGTTGTAGAATTAGACAGTAGTGATAGTCGCACAATCGTGTAAATATACTAAAAATACCAAATTGTGGCCGGGTGTGGTGGCTCATGTCTGTAATCCTAGCACTCTGCTAGGCCAAGGCAGGCGGATCCCTTGAGCTCAGGAGTTCAAGATCAGCCTAAGTAAGAGCAAGACCTTTCTATCTCTAAAAAAAAGAAAAAATTGGAAAGGCATGGTGGTAGGCACCTGTGGTCCCAGCTACTAGTGAGGCTGAGGCAGGAGGACTGCTTGAACCCAGGAGTTTGAGGTTGCTGTGAGCTTGGGTGATGCTACAGCATTCTAGCCTCAGCAACAGAGTGAGACTGTCTCAAAAACAACACTGAATTGTACATTTTTAAAAGTGTGAATTTTATGGTATGTGAACTATATCATATCTCAATTTTTAAAAACTGAGTAAGAGGGAAAAAAAAGAATAAACCACGCAAGGTAGTGATAATTTAAAGGCAAATTCTGGGGTCTTCCCATCAGTCCCAAAGGCTACCCATTTGAGCTTGTTAAGAACTTATCAGGGGAATTAAAGCTATAGAACACTGAGAGACTAAATATTTCTACCCCATGATGGGAAATAAGATAAAGGCATCTACTATTACCATTCCTAATTTAACATTGTACTGGAGGTTGAAGCCAGTGCAGTGAGGAGGAAAAAAGTTATAAAAGGAAGCAAGTTAGGAAAGGAAGAAGCCTTATATAACTGTCTTTTTATTTACAGACATAATTATCTACATAGAAAATCCTGCAGAATCCACAAAAAAGAACAAGCTAGAATTGTAGAACCTAGTTCTAAAATTGTAGGATTCAAGATAAATGTACAAAAACCAATTCTAGATCCTTTTGTAGTTCATAAATACAACGACTGGGTGTTCACATGTGTGCTTGAAACATGTCTTCCTCAAACCTTGTCACAACACCAGCACATCAGCCGGCTGACATGAAAAGAAAAAAACCACAAATGGTACACCTATATGCTAGAAATGAAAAAACATAAATTGGGATTTTTAAGAAATCTTAAAACTATGAAATATTATTATGAGAAATTAAAGAAATAAAGAATATATGGCTTGGCACTCATAGCACAGTGGTTAAGGCATCAGCCACATACACCGAGGTTGGTGGGTTCGAGCCCAGCCCGGGCCAGCTAAACAATAATGACAACTGCAACAAAAAAATAGCCAGGCATTGTGGCAGGCGTCTGTAGTCCTAGCTACTTGAGAGGCTGAGGCAAGAGAATTACATGGGCCCAGGAATTTGGGGTTGCTGTGAGCTATGATGCTACAGCACTCTACTGAAAAAGAAATAAAGAATATACTATGTTCATGGACAGGAAGACTCAACACTGTTAAGGCAATTTTCTCCAAACTGATATAAAGCTTCAGTGGTAGGTATCTCACCAAAATCCTAGTAGGTTTTTTGGTAGAATTCTATAAATGAATTCCAGTATAAATGTGGTATTCAAACCAATGGCAAAGGACAGATTATTTAACAAATAACACCATCTCAAATGGCTTTCCATCTGGAAGAAAATAAAACCAGACCTCTATGTTATACTAAATACTGAGACAAATTCAAGACAGTCTAAAGAAAATGTAAACAATTAAACAAAAATCTCACCAAAAGTCTCACAAGAGACAAGTATAATTTAGGACCAGGAGAGACCTTAATCGTGACAAGAAGTTCTGAAATATTACAGTTAAACACACTGACAACGTGGCTTTCATACTGGAGAAAAGTGAGATATGGATGAAGAGTGTACGTGAACTCTCTGAACTATCTTTGCAATTTTCTGCCAACCTAACAATATTCCAAAAATAAAAAGCTTATTTAAGAATAACATAGAATGTGTGCATGCACACATAGTAAGCTATTAAAGTCAATAGTTGAATGATAAATTTGGGAAAAAAGAGTTAGACTGTTAACAGCTACAGTATACAGAAATCTCTTTCAAACTGACAAGGAGCAAACAACCCAAAAGAAAACAGGAAAGGATATAATAGCCAGTTTAAAGAACAGCAAATTCAAAGACCACCCTCAAACTGCCCACGCCTCCCAGACAAAATAAATGAATAAATAAAAATAAAAGACATACAAATTTACTAGTCAGGAAAATGTAAATTCGGGTAACAGATACTACTTTATAACCATACCCATTACTGATGGGACGCAGGGAAAAAGAGGACTTGGGTATAGTCAGTGGATTATAAATTTTGACAGCATCTTTTGGAAGGCAATCTCATAACCAACCTTTCCAATGTTTTAGTATCTTTACGGCCATATTTTGTTTTTTTTTTTTGAGATGTTTCACTGTATCACCCAGGATAATTTCAAACTCCTGGACCCAAGTGATCCTCCTGCTGCCTCAGCCTCCCAAGTAGCTGAGACTACAGGTGTGTCACCATGCCCAACCTTTTTAGTGTTCTGCCGTGAGGAAAAAATGACACAAAGTGAAGGCTCATCAATATGAGAACGTGTGAACAACTGCAGCACATCTACACAACAGAATTTTGATGTAGTCACTCAAGAGTGAATTGGAGCTATACAGCTGACGTGGACAGGTTTCCTCAAGCATTACCGAGCAAATCAATAACCAGTGAATAGATGCATTGTGTGTGACTGTATGAACATGGGGAAACTGTGGCATCGTAGATATTAGGGCTCGTGTGCTGGTTATGGGGGAAGGTAATATGCAAAGGGGGGGAAGAGAAGGGAGAAAAACAAAAAGGGAAAGAAAGGGGAAAAAGCAGGACGGGGAAATAAATCCTTTTGTGCATATTTTACTTAAAACTTTTTTTTTGTTTTTTTGAGACAGAGTCTTACTCTGTTGCCCTGGGTAGAGTGCCCTGGCATCATCACGGCTCACAGCAACCTCAAACTCTTGGGCTCAAGTGATCCTCTTACCTTAGCCTCCTGAGTAGCTAGGGCTCCAGAAGCCCGCCATGACACCTGGCTGGTTTTTCTAGTGTAGTAGGTATGGGGTCTCACTCTTGCTCAGGCGGGTCTCGTAATCCTGAGTTCAAGAGTTGAACTCTTGAATCCTGAGTTGAATCCTGAATTCAAGCAATCCACGTGCCTCACCCTTCCATAAACTATTGATAATTTTTTCTAAACCATCTGTTCACATTACCTCTAAAGCAATCATGATCTCTTTAGCTGAAAGTATTACATTTTCTTTCTTTTTTTTTTGCAGTTTTAGCCAGGGCTGAGCTTGAACCCACCACCCCAGTATATGGGGCCAGTACCCTACTCCTTGAACTGTAGGAGCTGCCCTACATTTTCTTTAAACAAATAAGTCCCTCAAAACAAAATTAAAATGCCTTTTACTAACCCTGAACAATTACATTCCACTGGCTGTCATACATTTCAGAATATTTATAAACATATGTGGTATAAAACCTTGCTAAAAGTGACTGTGTTTCAGGCACTGTATTGTTTCAAACATTATTTTACCGTAGAATACTATGTACTAACTGGTCAATTCGGAGGTTAAGTCCACAACATCCTCATTCCTTTTGCTCAGTTATTCTTTTGTCCCCTCATAGAAAGTAATCTTTAATTTCCTTGTCATATATGTATGTAAACTAAATACTGTAAGTGTAGGAAAAATAAAAGGAAGGACAAGGTCTCAGAGGCTACACTGGTGTGTGCTGGCTGGGTGTGGTAGCTCAGGCCTGTAATCCCAGCACCCGAGAGGCCAAAGTGGGAGGATCATTCAAAGCCAAGAGTTTCAGACCAGCCTAAGTAACACAGCAAAACTCCATTCAACAAAAAAATTAAAAAATTATCCAGGTGTGTAACTAGGCATGAGGATCAGTCGAGCCCTGGAGTTGAGGCTGCAGTGAGCTATGATGATACCACTGCACTCCAGCCTAGGCAACAGGGAGACTTAGTCCAGAAAGGAAAGCAAGGGAAAACGGAAAGGAAGGAAAGAAAGAAAAAGACAGGCTTGTTTTCCTTGTACTTTAAGTACAGAATTAAGAAATTAGAGGTACCTGGTCTACACGGTCTTGTGTCAGACCTACATTTAATCCCCTTTACAATGGACAAAAGGTACCAGAACTAGGTGTTCCAATGCTCTTTAGGTGAAAGGTTGGAAAGAAAGCAGTACTATAGAAAAGTAAGAAAAGAAGGTAAAAGCAGTACTATATTTTTATCACCCAGCACACATCCCGCATATTCTAGAATTAGTTAACTCTTGCAGAGGAAAGAGACTGCCTTTTCATACTGCTCATATATTATATAGATGAAAATGAGCTGCTTCCTAATCCTGAAAGCCTAGCTCTTTGTGGTATTAAGAAAAAAATGATCTAAACAGGCTTAAAAGCAATTTAACATTCAAGGAAGATGGCATTCCAACTTTACTCTGATACTGAAGTTTATCTCAGGTTTATATTAGAAAAATCAAATTCAGCACATTAATACATTAAAGTAATAAATCACAATTATATGACAGACGCTTTCCAATAAAATTCAACCTATTTCCAAGGTAAGAACTCTTGCCAACCTAGGAGTCGGAAGAGAATTTCCTGATTTTGATAAAGGATATCTACAAATATATCTGCATCAAATATAATTATTATAATAGTTGAAACAATGGTTTTCCTTTGAGATTAGCACATAAACAATGTCCCCATAATCACTGCTAGTCAACATTACACACTAGAAGTCCTAGCCAGTGCAAATGAGCCAGCAAAACAAATGAACATAACGATCTAACAGGAAGAAACAACACAATGTGAATCCTACCTCTGCCACTTACAACTACGCAAGTCTGGGCAAAGTACTTAATATATCTGTGCTTTAGTTACTTAATTTGTTTTGTTTTGTTTTTAAGAGAGCCTTGGTCATCCCAGCTAGAATACAGTGGTGTCATTATAGCTCACTGCAGCCTCAAACTTAAGGGATCTTCCTGCCTCAGGCCCCTGCACAGCCAGGACTACAGGCACATCCCACCACACCTGGCTAATTTTTCAAATTTTTGCAGCAATGGGGTCTCGCTGTTGCTCAAGCTGGTCATCAACTCCTGACCTCACGCAATCCTCCCTTCTTAGCTTCCCAGACTGCTAGCATTACAGATGTGATCCACTCTATCTGGCTCAGTATCTCATTTGTAAAGAGGAGATAATAAATGTACCCACTTAACAGGTTTCGTCTTTTTTTTTTTTTGAGACAGAACCTCAAGCTATCCCCCTGGGTAGAGTGCCGTGACATCTCAGCTCACAGCAACCTCCAACTCCTGGGCTCAAGCGAGTCTCTTGCCTCAGCCTCCCAAGTAGCTGGGAC